TATATTTGGTCCCAAGGGAGATGTTGAGGTCAAATATCCGTTCAGTTGTATCACCATGAATGTTGTATATTGCATTTCATGTATTAGATGCGGGAAACTTTATATTGGTTCTACAGTTCGTTGATTGGGTGATCGGTTTGCTGAGCATCTACGGCAAACTAGACAGAAAAATCGTTATTATCCAGTTTCACTTCATTTTAATTCTAGTGGACATAATATTACAGATATGTCTATTTCTGGTGTATGTGTTGTCAATGGCAACGAAAATCAGCTCAGGGGTGTCGAGGAGGAAACTATATTCCACCTTGGAACTAAAGAACCCCATGGAATCAACAAACAGTTCAACTCATTTGTTGAGCTCACTACCTAAGGCGCGTTATTTGTTCTATTGTGGAATTTTTTGTGATTTTAATTTATGGTTCATGCGTGTTCTTACGTTCCTATGTTCTACCTGTACGTTATAACATTTTCTTCTATGCTATCGATACAGAGCCATTGCTCGAAACGTCTAGCTATTTTTAATAGTTATTTAGGACTACGATTACCAAATATTATCTTCTATATATCACTCAGTAAGACGTTTGCTAATGCTCATAATTAAAATGGCTGTAACAGTTCCAAATTTAAATGTATTATCGTTTTGTTAAAAAGTTAAATATAGTGCATAATATGGAGATCCTGTCATTTCTTTTTTTTCTACATGTTTCTTTTTTATTATTTATGTACAGCCTTGCTAAATCTTGCTAAGCATTTAAAAGAGAGAATGTTTGCACCTGTTATCTATATAGCCAAGACTGTTTGGATGATAAAAAGCATAAAAAAAAAATTCACTCCCAAGTTCCCACAAACCTGCATCTCTACCTTAATTTTAGTTATTTCCAGTATCTTTGTTGTCTTTTTGTCCAATGCCTTCAAAGTTTCCAGTGTTCTAGCCAAATTAAATAAAATTAAATGTTACTTTTTGTGCTCAGCTATGACTGCTGAACATGCCTGTACAAGAAAGCAATTTAATCATAAACTGAGTGAGTTTGGATTGATACAAGAGAAGTTTGCAGATATGTCATTAAAAGTGTATGCTATGGAGAGTATGGCTTATTTAACTGCTGGCATGATGGATAGGATGGGTGATCAGAATGGCCCTCCAGATTGCTCTTTGGAAGCTGCCATGGTCAAGGTATGAAGTTTTGACTATATGACTCACTCTCATTGCTATGCAGGGAGTTGTCATCTTAAAATTGCAATTGGGTTTCTAGCTTCACTTTTCACAGGCGTTTAATATTACTCACAAGAGTGTTCACTGTTGTCAACTTTTCATAAATGACCTGCCATTAACGAAAACTGTGATTCAAACTGTTTCCATATTCGGTATAAAGTGTGTGACTTCTTTCTATTTCATCCACTTTTGTTTCAAAAAACAGAAACATTTACCGGTAAACATTTGATCCGTTTTGATTTTAATTAAATTTGGCATGGACATTCACAGTGGATTACTAAATGTATTTTTTTTTTACATGTACCAGTTTCTTATACAATTTTAGATATTTTCTTTAAATTCGGTACAAAGACAATGATATAAATGTTCTTTTCACTGTGGAGATACAACACAGATTAAGTATGTTTGCTAGGTTTTCAGTTCTGAGGGCTGTTGGCAATGTGTGAATGAAGCTCTACAGATACTTGGTGGAATGGGTTATATGAAGGCCTACCCGTATGAACGATATCTCAGAGATTGTCGTATTTTACTCATATTTGAAGGCACAAATGAGATTCTAAGGCTATACATAGCACTGACAGGAATGCAATTTGCAGGAAGCTTCCTCAAAGATCTAATATCGTGAGTATACATCAATATCAACGACAAATTTGCAAGTCGTAACAATTACCATATTGTATATTTCAGCTTTATGCTTGTGGTCTGCTTCAAATTAAATTAAAGTATTATACTAGCAACACAGCACACAATTTTACAATTTTGTGCCCTGTTGCACATCCAGTAACCTGTTTGAAATTATGTTGCACACTTGTTCATTTTTCACATGCTAATTAGATCATGCAGCATTGTATATATGCCGTGTTCTCTTTCACAAATATACTGTACACTTTGCTGTATGTATGCTGTATGGCTCTTGTTACCCAAAATAAATCAGTAAACAAATATGACAATGTAAAAAATGTACCGTATTACCCCGGGCACGCGCCCAGGGGCCTGAACGTACAAAATCAGGAAAAATTGGGGGTGGGCGCTTACCCGAGGACCACCCCAAAAAAGATTTTAAAAAGTTGTTTTTGTGATCGTATGATAAGGTCAAATAAAGGAATGCTTTCGTACACTTTGTACACGTACTTATTTCTTGATTTATGCGAGGTTTCAATAAACGTGAGCACTCGGTCAAGATCTGTGGGAACACTAAGACACAGGGTCGAATTTCAAGAATAAAACTTGTTTTATGTCAGCGAATGAAGTTGTATTACTCACTGAAATTGACTACAAACTATGGTAAATATTGTAATCAATGCACATTTACATTTTTAGTAACCGTGATCAGTGCA